CGCCCCCCCAGCGACTTGGTGTGGGGGACGCTGACGGGGCACAGAGCGGCTGCTGCCCACCACGCGCCATTTGCTCCCCCCGACTCACCAGGGCAGGGAAGCCACTGGCACGTTCGGCGTCCCTGCGGGCAGCACCGAGCTCCAGGGCCACCTCAGTTGCTCACCTGAAGGGCTTGTTCTGGCTGCGGGGAGACGTGCCGGCGCCATCAGCTCCTGAGTCCTTGCCGGTGATCTCGGGGATGGGGGAGTCCTCAACGGGGGAGATGATGTTCTCCTGGCAATGGGAGCATGAGGGAAGGGTAACTGCACCACCACCCCATGGGGCCAGGTGACAGCATGGTCCCACAGAGCCCAGCCACTGCACAGCCCCACAGAGCCCCCTCACCTCCACCAGGGCCTGCAGGAGACGCTGCGTCAGGGGCCCAAAGGGACACCCGTCCTCTGGCTGCTCGTGCTGGGCCTCCGACTTCTTCAGCAGAGCATCGACATCTGGGAAGAAGAGGGAGGAGGAAAAAAAAAACCCAACCCCAAATACACAGAGGTGAGCAGCAGGGCAGGGCAAGCCTCTGCCCTGGGGGCACAGGGTGAGAGGCCAGGGCTCAGCTCTGCTGGGCACGGGGGCTTGCAGCCCCTCTGGGGGCTTTACACGGGCAAAGGCGAGTGGGGACAGAGGCACCTTTGGTGTCCAGTTCAGTCAGCGGCCCCAGGACACCCTTCTTCTTGTCAGCAGCAGCCGCTGCCCGGGCTCCATCCTTCTGCTCTTCCAGCAGGTCCTCCTGGGCCCAGCGCTGGGAGTAATGCTTCCCCAGGGGCGGGATCTAGGAGAGCAGGGCTTGGCACAGCTCCCAGCACCCCTCACCTCACCTGCCGCCTCGACGGCACCACGGCATCATCCCCGGGGAGGAACGCTCGCAGTGAGGCACGGGAGGGGACGGAGGGGCTGAGGGCTGGCAGGGAATGGGGAGAGAGGGTCAGGGATGGGCTTGGGAGGCACCGGGTGGGCTCGGGAGTTTTTCACCTTGTAATGCTCAGCCTCATCCTCCGGTGGCTTGAGCAGCTCCTCCAGGACCCTGACCTCCTCATTGGTGAGATCGGCACAGTACGGCTCCACCGATGCCCAGAACCTGCGGGGACGGCTGAGCTGTGAGGGAGAGCTGCAGGGGACCCCACGGGAGCTGACACACACACTCCCCCACTGCCCCCCGGGACACCTCCTCCCTCGGGCAGGAGACAGCCCTTGCGCCGGGTGCTGCAAGGAAGGAGACGGGTGATCCCAATGCCCCCCAGCACCCACGCACCTGTTCGGAGCATCATTTTTGGGAATGCGGGGCACGTCAATGGGATCATCCTGGAATTCGTATTCCTGGATCTTGGGCTGCAGGTTCTTGGACTTGGGCCGGCCAGGGCCAGGCCCAGTCCCGTGGCCCCCTTTGCCCTCCAGCTTCTGCTTCTTGGGCTTCCCATGCTTGACAGAGGTGCCCACATCGTGGTCCTTGCTCAGCTTCAGGAACCGCCGGTCGCCCTTCTTGTCCTGCCAGTCCGTCAGGATCTGGAAGAGAGAGCGATGCTCTGTGGGGTCCTGCACCCAGCGCTGGGTAGGGACGGATGGGAGGCAGCCCCCTCGGCGGGCAGGAGCGGGACAGGGAGCCACCCTATGGCTGCGGGGCCGGCACCTGGGTCTCG